AAAATGCCTGAAATATTGGTTATTGGTTGTAAAAGATGCTGTGTTTTTTAAATAAAGCAGAATATACATTTTATATTATTTTTATTTCCCCCCCCTTAAGAGTGAATACAGATAGTGACAAGTGCTCTGACTGATATGGTTAAACAAAATTTATTATTGTGAAAGATAAGTTGTCCTCTTGCTTTTGAAAAATGTAGTTGTAATCTGTTTGTAACCACAGTTGCTTTGGATGCAAAAAGTAGACACACACAAAAACTGGTTACTTTTTGCATTTGTATAGAAAGCCACAAAGGATTTGACAAGATAAGCACATTGTTGCCGAGGAGGAAACTTTTCCTTGCCTTTAAGATAATGTATCTAAGAGTTCATGTTTTTTTATGTTGTGAAATGCGAGGCCATGTTCCAACTTTATAGCTTGTATTCCATGTTTGTTACATCTACCTGGATAATTATTTAGAGATATGCTACTTTTGAAATAAACTTCCTTGCAAGTTTGTTTTGAGGAAGTGGGCTAAGCATGGCCTGTAGCATATTACCCTTCAATCATTTATTTCCACCCCCATGCTAACTAAAGATACTCTGAAAGTTAGTCTGTTTCCCGGTCCTGATATCTAGCACTGCCGCTGAGCTGGTCTGTCCCAAAAAAATTTGCCTGTCAGTTAACATTTAGGAGAAAATCACGTGCATTCCCTATAATTTTCTATTTGTGTTGTCCTTTTGTTTTCATTATAGATGAAGCAATCCAGACATGTTCACTAAGGAGGCTCAGGACTGGGATTGACAGAATGTTGTGGGGACAAGGGAGAAATGCTTAGTTTTAGTTAACAATCCTGGCTAGAGTAGAGAGAGAAAGTGTCTCCGTGTTTTGAGTGAGCATGATAGTGCGAGGTGGGCCATGTTTGGATATGTAAATGCTTGTGCAAGAAAATGAGATCATCGTGCTTTGGCCCATTATTCATGCAGGAAAATAGAGAGAGGGGGAATGTGCGAGTCGAGCAAACTGTTTAACATATACTTGCAGAATTGGCAGGTCTACCGTATAATATATAGGTGTAGAGATATGTCATGCACGGACTCTTGTATCATCTTAGGGATGTGTTCATTTGTTCTTAGGAAATTTCACCTTGATGCATGTTTGCCCTTATGCTTTACCCGACATGTGGATTATGATTTTCTAACAGAATTTTATGTACCTAGTCTGAGATTAATGTATGAAATGATAAGGCAGCATCTAGAGAAGATATGCAGTCACAGAATGATATGACTTATTTTGATACATGATTATTATATGTGAGATTAAGAAACAAGTGATAAGGGTGTACCCACATCCTATGACAATAACGTGGCATAACTTGAAGAGGATTGGCAAGTTTAAGGCATAGGGGGTATAGGAACAAAGAGCTGGAATGATGTAAAAGCAGCCCCAGAGATTTTCAAGCTTATTCCATTAACGAAGAGACAGGTCAGGATACTGTTCCCTTTTAATGGAGTAGGTTCCAGGAAGGATTTGGATTTTCAGTTGTCAGATTAGAATAGGATAGTGTATAGGATTCATGCTAAGATCAAGGTTACTTATTCTTTGTACCTTGAAGAAGTAATAAAGCAAGAGCTTTTCCCATAATCATGTGTACTCTGTACACAATATAGACACCTTTGTATATATATAGTTTGTTTGTATGTACATCATAAATTTATTTATTTATATATATATATATATATATATATATATATATATATATATATATATATATATATATACATATATATAAAAATGTCATTATATATAGGTCTATATATTTATTTATTTATACATTATGAGGTTATCTTTGTTGTTCGGTGGTTTGTCTCGCGCTGCAGAGAGGGGGAGGATAGAGACCATTATAGCACTCCCATCTCTCAGAATCAGAAGCAAAACGTGTAATCTCACAATCGCAAGGTCCAGTGACAGCAACAGCCTTAAGGTTTGTCTTTTAAAGGAACAGCAATTAAACTCTAATAGGGTCTGATATTTTATGCTGTCATTGTAGTCGAGTTATTCTATCAGACATTTTAAAGAATTTAGTGATACTCAAAATGATCTTGTACATTTATATATAGGGTTTCAAAGAATTGGTTTATCTTAGAAAGAAAAAAATAAATTTTGTTTTTCATTAGCTTTGGGTATTAGATTGCCAATTTATTATGTAGGTATATTTCAGTTGAACTAAAAACATCAAAGGCATTGGAAGCAAGAAAGAAAGAAAAAAAAAATTGTAAGGTTTCGAACTCAAACATGTTTTCAATTATAGAAAAGTATTCCAACCTTTTATTTCCAATAGAAATTTCAAAGCTTGTGCTTTTATCTGAATCTATTGTATACACACCAGCTGTCCGTAAAGGTTATACTGGTTATGTAAAATCACATGTTATTTGTAAATATCATATCAGCTGTGTATTACTCTTCTGTCTCCGTACCTCAGAATACCACACATCCAGCAGCATGATGGAAATGCGGTTGTTTGTGTGGATTGTTGCTCACGTAGACCTAAATAACTTTATGCATGAATGGAGAAAAAAGGGTTTTGCAGTGTGAGTGCATAATGAAAATCATAGATATAAAAAGCACTTTGGCAGTTTGCAAGATTAAACTCGCTGATGCCATGTCCATTGTGATTTTTGTTTATTAATTGGGTTTGCTCATAAATGGCTCCACAAGCGCTTAGTCACCATGGAGGCAATTACTAGTCTTATCTGGCTATCCCATTTCCCATTTCCTTTTTTTTTTTTTTTTTTTTAAGTATTGTTCATGATATGATTATCATAAAAATAACAACATCAATATTAATAGCATAAAGAACATTTTTCAAACTCAAAGAAAGAGGAAATCAGGTGAGGTCACATAGACCTACTAATTAGCCCCATGTGCAAACAAAATTCACTTCTAAAAGAAAGCTACAGCGGACCATACATTTTCCTGTCAGCATAGGGTTGAGGGACAGTAAAAGAGTTTTCCTCAAGGTGAGCCCCGTAATAGATATGCCCTTCCTCTTTTTATCATCCAGTAAACTGTTTCTTAAAGTGAATAATTATACGGTAGGACTGTGCCAGATACGAAGGGAGCTGTGTGAAAGTCATGGGTTTTCTTTACTGGCAGCATATCTTATAGGAAAATATACTTTTTGTCTTTTTCTTCTCCTTCTTATGTTTATCATTCATTCCTTCTTTTTATTTCATGGTTACCATTCATTCCTAATATGTCCCGGCAATAAGTATTAAATGAATAAGTAAATAGATATAAAAGTGAAAAATAGATATAAAAGTGAACAATTATCTTTTTTTCTTTCTTTCTTTCTTTTTCTTTCTTTTTTCTCTTTCTCCTCCTTCCTTCCTTCCTTCCTTTCAATGAAGCTCAAAGGAGCTACTCGCACCGCTCTATGAACAACGGTGAATTATATAATGGGAGTTTTTGTTTGCTTGTTCATGACTTCTTGAGCAGGGATTTCCCACGGGATTCCCCTTGCTCAACATAATATAGCTTGACAATCCACAGCCTTTTAATTGTGGGTATTAGTTTCTTGACATTCATGCCCAGTGAATATGCAAGTAGCCAGGACAGACAGACTTCCTTTTTTTTCCCATGTTGTTCTTTGCTGTTTTTTTTTTGTAGACCAGTTTTCTTCAGCATTTGTTTTTGTTTTTCTTTTTTGTGTGTGTGTCTTTTTTTCTTTTTCTTTTCTTTTTTCTTTTTCTTTTTTTCTTTTCTTTTCTTTTCTTTTCTTTTCTTGTCTTTTCTTCTCTCTTTCTTTCTCCTCTTCTCCTTTTCTTTTCTTTCTCTTCTCCTTTTTCTTTTCCCATTGCAACCCATGTTGGTTTCATATATAACTCAAGGGTCTAATGAATTTGTTTGATGGATTAGTTTATTTTTGTTACTCACTTCTGAGTCCTAGATGAAGGGAAGACACTAGTGCATATATGTTTGTGTACATAAACACATGCAATATATATATATATATGTGTGTGTGTGTGTGTGTGTGTGTGTGTGTGTGGTGTGTGTGTGTGTGTGTGTGTGCTCGTATGTGTGTGTGTGCACGTGAGTACACTTTCGTTCAGTGAGGAATGTTCAGTGTTTTACATGAAATATAATGCAAAAGCGTCAGGTAACCTTTTATTGTCAAGAGATATATTTCTCATAATCAGTACTAATACTTGAAAATTCCTGAAAGATAACTAATCTTATCATGGATCAGTCAAGCAATAGATCAGATTTTGTACTGTTTTATCACCGTTTGTACTAGTGGGACGGATTGTTTGGCACTTGCCGTTTTGCAAATTGTGATTATGGTACTGGATGAAGATCTTTATCATTATTTATGTTTAATTCCATGCTGTAGTACTAGGTATCTGATACTAATGTTGTTGTTGTTGTTGTTGCGCTCACAGATTATACTGATGTGTTTCATCTTAAAGAAAATATGGTTTAAAGAGTTTACATATGCTGTCTGGTTGTCATTGGATAATATTTGTTTGTTTGTGGGTAAGGATGCTCATAAGATGCTGTGGATTTAGAAAATAAAAATGATTTTAGTACAAGTGAAAAGGGTATCCTGGGAACTTCCGATTTTCTTGTGTATGATTCAATAAATTTTCTTGTTTCGTGAAGATGCAGTGTGAAGTTCAACCAAACATTTAAGTTTGAAGTAAAATACAGCTCTTGTTTTCATCATTTACTCAAATTTATCTTTACTTAAGAATTTATTACATCAAATTACATGTTTTAAGTTATATACTATTGTACTTTTATTTTTCTTTCTTTCCTTGGATAATCGTCTAAACCCTTTGTCTA